TTTTTGAAAGGAATGGAAATACTTTGAGAAATAGAATGACTGTAATATGAACAGTATAACAGAGCAAAACAAAAACAAATCATATGTTTTGAAACGTCAGCGAGTGTTAGACCGATGACTAATCCACCAACTTCCAATTGAGCAGACTGCATTACAGTCAGGACCTCCAGGGATAAAAGTGCCTTCCTGTCCTGGCTGGGGAAACTTCATTAAAGTGGGCTGTTTGTTGTGTGTGGTGTATTTTACAGCTAGTAAAACGTGGGAAACTTTTTACTCTCAGAAAAGCAGGGCTGAGTTTAGATTTATGGTTTAGGTTTAAAGTTCAGGTTGAAAAAATGCAGCTGTGGCCAATAAAGAAGTCTAAGATAAAAGCAGGGATTTTAGAGACAAGCATCAGTTCTCATGAGTAAGACAAGTGTGTGTGTGTGTGTGTGTGTGTGTGTGTGTGTGTGTGTGTGTGTGTGTGTGTGTGTAAGATAAAACGAGAGGAGGTTTATGATCACTGTGTACCAGGAGTATCTTTCAAACACAGGCACCAGGTAATACAGTTTTCCTGCTGCCCTCCTGTGCTCTATAAAAATGATTATCACTTCTGTCATCCAGGTCTCTTTGACCCAGTTTCCTTCCATCACCAGTTTGCATTTTCTTGTCCTCTTCTGCACATCCAACTTCATTACACCCACTTCATATTTAAACTCTTGAAAGCACATACTGTCGTTGAGCTGGATGGGACCTTTTTGTAACCCAGTAGCTTAAGTCAGTGTAATTATGCTGTCATCTTTGGCAGTTTATCCAAACAAAGCCATATAAAGATGATGAAATGAGGTGAGCTGAGCTTTCTAGATTTTTTTTCATATATCCAAAAAAAGCTTAATTGGCACTAATTGCCACACTTTTAGGTGCATCATAGATGGTAAATTTCTCTCTGCTGCTCTTTGTAGCCTTAATGGAAACGGGGGGGGGGGGGGGGGGGGGGGCAGTCAGCGTTTCAATAACTTTATGAATCTGCCACAAATTATGTAACATATTCAAAAATAAAACCCCACTGAGTGTTGTGCTCTTTGCGTTTTGCGTCTCTGAATAGTTAATTAGGAGACGCAACCTTCGTGGGCTCTGAAATATGCTGCCTGCAGGGACTACAGCTGGCAAGAGGACAGCAATGCAAAATTATGGGGCTTCAATGAAATTACATATTATCCTAATATTTGTGAGGTATGTGCAAATGCATTGCTTTAGGATGCCTATTGCTGATGCATCTCCGAGCTCCTCTGTTCCACTTTGTATGCACAGTTTGCATAACGCTTCTTTATTCATACATTTCCCTGTAATATACAACATCTAAAAGCCTTCCCTGCAGGGCAGGCTGTCTGGGTCCAGACATCACTTAATGCTGGCGGAGAAAGCTCATGGTCAGAGAGCAGGAGGCGGTTACTGACCAACAGGGTGTAATTCTCTCAGCTGGCACCACTTTGCGGTCTCTCATTTAGACTCATATCCGGTGGATGATTATACCTTCATTAAAAACTCTGAAACGTTTGCATGTATGAACACATACATGCTTAAATTCAAACCTGTGACATTTATTTTCTTTCCGGCAAAGAAATTTCATATTTCTCTCAGATTAGCTTTTTTCCCCACACAAGTATTTCTAGGATGTAGCGAATGGTCGAAAAAAGAGAAATATCCAGTGAGCGTCAGTTCTCTGGGTTGAAATTACTTACTGATGCCAGAGGTCAGAGGAGAACGGCCAGACTGCTTCAAGTAGTTACTGAAATAACCACTGGTTACAACCAAGATGTGCAGAAGGTATCTCTGAAGGGAGAAGCCAGTGTTGAAGCAGAAGGGCTCAGCAGCAGCAGACCTCACTGAGGGCCCTTCCTGTCAGACCAGAACAGAAAACTGAGGCAACAGTTGAAGACTGTTTCCAGCACCTTGTTACATCTATGCCAAAAGAATTAAGGCAGTGCCAAATAATAATAGGTATACCAACTAAAGTATTGGGTGTCCCTGTTCTCAGACAAAAACAGTTGTGATCTTACTTCAGTGATAAAATTATTCACGACAAAAAAGACAATGACAAAAAAAACCCTTTTGTTTAAGTCTTTATATACAAAAACACTATACACGTTTGGACACAACAGTAGCTGTTTTGGATATATAACATTGTAGTACAACTTCAAAGATGAATTATTAATGTCAAACAGAGTAAAGGTGGTTGGAGCTCATGTGAAATATCCTCTCCTCAGCCTTTGCTGCTCTGAGCACAAAGTA